TCCTGCTGATGTGTTTGCAGAGAAATACACAGATGTTGCTGATACTTTCAACCTAGCCTTGCTGGTTTTGTGCAGTGACTGGGGCTTTGTCTTTGTGAAGAAAATGCTTGCACAGTATCCTTTGAAGGAGATACTGTAAGGTCAAAATATTTTTGTTGGATGTCTCAAACCACTGATTGAAATCACATTTCATCACTTACCTTTGCCCTCCTTTCTAACTGATGGAGACATGTCAACAATGGGGAAATACGGTAGATTTTCTTCCATCTTCAGACAAAAGCAGCTTTTGAAATGAAGGCTATTACGTGTCTGATGTGCTTTTGTGTTATTTTTCTATAGGTTAAAAATGCTGTTCAAGAGCTCTAAAAATTTTTTTCCCAATTTACACAAAACTTTATTTAATGGAAACATCACCTTAACACTATCAAAGCTTATTATCAAGTGTTAGAAATTTTTCTAATTTCTGGCATTTTTATTCATTATGTTATCTCTGCCTACTTAAATCTAGTTTTGAGTTAGTATTAATAGCTTCTTTTAAAAATCTATTAATGTATTTCTTCCTTCAGAGAGAGATGAGGGGTTAGAGAGGGAGACAAAGAGTGTAACCCTCTCCAGTAGCATTCTTATGCCACAATCTATTTCCAACCGAGTCTGATCATGGGTATGTACATATACACCCAGCATGTAGAGTGAGACCTTAGGACACCAACTGAGGGTCTCCCCAGGTGTGTCAAGTTGTATTACCACTGTGGCTCCCTCTGGGCCCTCTAATTTAGTACCAAAATGCTTTTTCAATGCTTGGTTATACAACATTTATAGGTTTGTGAGTTTATTTCTCTCAGTGTAGTACCATGATTTTGGAGTTGGTGATGCAACAGAATGCTATCATGATGGTTTGCTGAAAGCTTACATCACTGAATCTTGAAGAATTAAACTCCAAGCAGAATAGAAAAATCAAGATAAGAATGTTCTGTATTTCAAGACTGCTTGTGAGAATTTTTAAAAGATGTGAAGCTAGAAAGCAGATATCCAAAGTGGTTTGAGTAAAATGATATGAATGAAATAAATAACCATTTGTTTGTCATTGCTTTTTCCCTCAGAGGGGAAGCAATGACACCAAATCCATGGGAATTGGATAGGCTACTTCTGTACCACAGATAACAGAACTTACATTTCCTACAGAAATTTAAAGATTAAATGGGGACATTTAAACTCTAACCAAAATTATTTCTGTAGGTAGAACCTATCACAATTGCTGATTATACTAAGAAAGTAGCTAATGTTCCATGACACAGTAGTGCATCTTTTAGTATTTTCCAATGATATGGAAAGTAAAACTTAAAATATTTTTCAGATACCAGTAATTGGTGACTTATTACATGGAATTTTATATGCATGATTCTTACAATAGATTGTGAGGCTTGTCTTATTTCTCTCACTTTACAGAAAAAGAAACTGAGAGTCAGAATGTATGTACAATTTGCCAAAATCACATGACCAGAAAATGTGAGTATACATTTGGATACAGATTTTATTTCAAATTTGTGTTTCTGATAACCTTCCCATGATACATGATCAGAGTTTAAGGAATATTTGTTGAGGGTTTTTAAAATGCAATTAAAAATATAAAATGAAAAGGAAAATTATGAGGCACCTAATCTGGATCTATCCTCCTACTACAGATTTCAAATTTTTTTCCTTTTCCATCTTTGCCTGCCTAATTATTTTATCATTTTAACATGTTGACAGAGTTGGTGTCTAAGGATCTAATGCTGTGTAAACATGTCAGAAGCATCTTCCAAGTCTTAAAATCTAGTGGTTATGCTTTCTTAAAAAAAAAATCAGTGACTTTGTGCAGAAAAGTCTACTGGTATCCAGGCTGGAGACTTCTGGCACAAGCTCCAAGATCTCCCCTTTTGTTATCTCTGAGTTATTTCTTTAAAAAATTTTCTTTGAGAAATAATAATTGAACATATTTATGGTTTACAAAATGCTGTTTTAAAATATGTGTATGTTGTGAAATGGCCAAGCTTATTAACATATATGTTACATCACATACAATGGATCTTCAAAAACTTTATATACAAGATATATTTTGAAAAGACTACCAGATGGCTTCATTTCTGAATTTTACAAGACTTTAAAAGAATAGTTTACCCTCATTGTATTCAAATTATTTCTAAAGATACGAAAGGAAAAAAAACCCTCCCAAATTTTTAATTAACTAATTAATTAATTTATTGGAGAGGTTTTTGCTATAGGTCGCGTGCGCTTGCCAGAAAGACAGAGAGAGACAGAAAGCGAGAAATCACCCCCCTATGGAATACTACTCAGCCATAAAAAACAACAAGACTCTGGCATTTGATATAAAGTTGATGAATATGGAAGATTTACTGCTGAGTGAAGCAAATCAGGCTATGAAATAGAGACATTGTATGTCTCCACTTAATATATACCAACTGTCTGCACTCTATGGGAAGATTAGAGAATATAGAAGCATGGAAAATTGTTACAAATATTGGAGACAGTGTGGGAAGATGGTAAAAGGGGAATAGTGTGAGGAAAGGAATCACAGAGAAAAATAGAGACATTTATGGGACACAGAAATGGATGATTATCTGTTGATTATAACATGTATTATATCTTCAGCTATACCGGTGTGAAGTGTATTCATGTTAGGTAATTCGTTTTACAAGCTACAGTGATCTATAATAATTGAATGTATAAAATAAATTGAAATAATAAAAATAAATTTAGAAAAGCAATAAGCACATAATATACTATATTAAAACAATATTTTCAAAATTTCAAAAATCTGCTTACATAATTTTATTAATGTCTTTTTTGTGTATGTTCCCAGATCTAAGTTCTTCCTTATATATCCTTATATTTTGCACACTAATTTGGAAATATAAACTTTTTTAGAAAAAAATTAAAAAATAAAAGAAGAAAAGACTATGCATGGATTTAAAAAAGTTTTGCAAAAATTGAACTTGTACTTTAATTAAATTGTCAACAATTTTTGACAGGTCAACATATATTTTAAAGACCCCTTGCACCTATCATTTATTTATGGTGAGAACACTTAAAATCTATTTTCTTAGCAGTTTTCCAGTATCCATTACATTATTATTAACTATAGTCACCCAGTTGTACAAGGGATTTCTTGAATTTATTCTCCTGTCTAACTGAAATTTCATATCCATTGATCAACATCACCCCATTTCCCCATCCTCCAGTTCCTGGTCACCATCATTCTACTTTCTGCATCTATGATTTTGATCTTTTTCCATTCCA